CGGGTGTGGGCCGGACAGGCACCTTCGTGGCCCTGTCAAGGCTGCTGCAGCAGCTGGAGGAGGAGCAGATGGTAGACGTGTTCAATGCTGTGTACGCGCTGCGGCTGCACCGGCCCCTCATGATCCAGACCCCGGTGAGGGCCTCAGCGAGCTGGGCTAGGCAGCGCAGCCTGCAAGGGCGTGGGTGGGAGGGGTCCACAGGCCTGGAGAGGCCAGGAGAAGGAGCTCATAGGGAACCATAGAGGACTCTGGGGTCCTTTTTGTAAAAGGGAAGGAGAGACAGGCTCCTGCCAGCTTTGACACCGTGGGACATGGGGAGGTTCCAAAATGGCTCTCTTGTCTACCCTGCTAACATCCCTGCCTTGTGCGGGGGTTGGGGCCTGGGTGGCCTCCCTGCTGGCCCATACCCGTCCAGAGGCCTGATGCTCTCTCCCTCTGCCAGAGCCAGTACGTCTTCCTGCACAGTTGCATCATGGACAGGATTCTGGAAGGACCCTCTGACACCTCTGAGTAAGTCCAGCTCCCCTGGGCCCTGGCCGATGGGGTGTGGTTCCCTGTGCTTTCCCACCAACAGGTTCCAGCTCCTGTCATGGGTGCAGCCAGGAATTGTGGAAGCAAGAGCCGGGGAACCCGTAGTGCCTTCTCCCCACTCCCCCTACCCACAGGTGCAGGCCCATTTCAGTGAGGAACTTTGCCCAGGCATTTGCCCGGAGGGCGGCCAATGGCAATGCTGGCTTCTTGAAAGAGTACCAGGTACACTTCAGGCCAGGGAGTGGGGGACAGGCAAGGGCGGCATTCCCCTGCCCAGCCTCAGAGTGCCTGTCTCYGTCCAGCTCCTCCTGCAGGCCATTAAGGATGAGGCCAGCTCTTCAACCTCCCCTCCTGGCTACCAGCAGGACAGCACTGTCTCCTGTGAGTCTCAGTGGGAGCCCTGGGGTAGGGAGAGAGGGCAGAGGCCACCTCACCCTCACCGTCTTCCTGCAGATGATCGTTCTCAGGTGCAGTTTTCTCTGGTGGAGGAAAGCCCTTCTGACGACATGCCTGAAGCCTGGCTCTTCCCTGTGAGATGCTGGTCCTGCTGGCCTATTGCTTGCCCTCTCTGACCATTTGTGCTTCCCAGCCTGGGGATGGGGCTTTGGCGTCTCCTAGAGCCGTGGGATGGGCAGGGGACACCTCAGCCCATAAGAACCAATTGGTCGTGCTCTGCAGGGTGGGCCTTCTGGCTGTGACCACGTGGTGCTGACAGGCCCTGCGGGGCCAGAGGAACTCTGGGATCTGGTGTGGGAGCATGGGGCCCTTGTGCTGGTCTCCCTGTGCTCATCTGAGACCCAGGAGAAGGTGAGGGGGCATAGGAACAGAGGATGGGTGGCTGCAGGAGTTGGGGCAGAGCTCGGGGAATGTGTGTGACCAGAACGTGTGTGAAGACTTCAGGGAGCTGCCTGAGCAGCCCTCATTTGGTCCCAGCCACAGGAGTTCTGGCCATCGGAGAAGCAGCCCATCATTACAGACACGGTGACAGTGCACTGGGTGGCCAAGAGCAACACAGCTGGCTGGCCCTGTACTCTCTTCAGGGTTACACATGTAGGTGTGGAGGCCAAGGGGCATGGGGTGCTGGGCTAGGGGTGGGCAGTGTCCTGGCTGGCTTCCCTCTGCCCTCCTGGGCACCAGTGCTGACCATGTCTTTGCCCAGGGGGAGAGCAGGAAGGAGAGGCAGGTGCAGCAGCTGCAGCTACCGTGCTGGGAGCCTGGCCATGAGCTGCCCGCCACCACCCTGCTGCCCTTCCTGGCCGCTGTGGGTCAGTGCTGCTCCCGGGGCAAAAGCAAGAAGCCGAGCACACTGCTCAGCCACTCCAGGTGCTGTGGACACATCTTACTGAGTCCCGCTTGGATCATGGGTCTAAATGACATAGTCTTCCAATGTCCCTGTCTACTCGGAACCTTGCCCTGTCCTCGGTGACATGACAGGAATTTGTCCCCTCTCTGCCTCGGCCCAGTTGACCAATTACCTAGGGTCTTTTCCCAGTCTCTGGACCCCGGTTTGGTTTCTCCATGTGTCCTCGATCCCCGTTCCCCTGCCTTCCCCTCCAGCTACCCCATCCAACTCTAAGTCAATTGCAGCAAGGGCATGACCCAGCTGGGCATCTTCCTGGCCATGGAGCAGTTACTGCAGCAGGCAGAGACTGAAAGCACTGTGGATGTTTTTAACGTGGCCCTGCAGCAGTCACAGGCCTGTGGGCTCATGACCCCGACGCTGGTGAGAGGCAGCACAGGCTCAGACGTGGGAAGGCACTGGGAGGGTTCTGTCCCAGCTACAGGCTACCTCTAGGCGGCACCATGCATGTCACCACCAGGTGGCGCTATGGACCACTCTACTAGCCCAGATGGAGCCCTAGGGGTTAGGGGACACAGGGGACTGACCTTTCTGTATCAGGTTTGAGCCTCCTTGTTCATCTCTATCCCCAGGAGCAGTATATCTACCTCTACAACTGTCTGAATAGCGCACTGATGAATGGGAAGACCTGAGTCCAGAAGCAGCCTGTGCCCTTCCAGCCATGGAGGACCAGTCCCCGCAAGATGACCTAGGCCTGGTTTCCCTGGGCGCCTTGTTGTGAAGCAACAGAGTTGTTGAATAAAGGCCTGTAGTCAAGCCTGAGCTGAGCATTCTGTCCGTCCATCCCCTGACATGGGCTCAACACCAGGCCTTGTTGGCAAACATGGAGCAGGGATGGGAGGTGAGGCCTGGGGTCCGGCTGAGCCATGGAGGCATAGCCAGTAAGCTGTTGGCTTTTGCCCCGAAGCTCTTCTACTCCCCACTCCTCCAGGTTCCCAGTTTCCCAGTCTCCTCACACTTCAGTCTCTTCACCACTAGCATCCTGTGGTGCTCTGCCCGGGACTCACTGGAACTCACTGCGCCCCCTCCCCACCCACCTGCCCTGAATGAAGTAGGATTTGTCTGGTTCCTGACCTTCCTTCTCCTGCCATCCCTAGCCTTTACCCGCTAGAGTCTCTGCTGGCTCCTTTCCAGGGTAGAGGTTTGACAGTCCCACAGGAAGGCGGGAATCAGGGCTGACCCTCGGGCCACAGTGGCCAAGTTTTCCCTGTTCCTTTGCAGTCTCCTCTTCCTTCCCTCCACATAGGAAGGAGATGGAGGAAGAAGCAATGAGAGGAAGTGCAGAAGGGAAAAGCCAGGAGACAGGATGAGGCTGACTGTCCCAGAGTGGACTGCACACTACAGGACATGAGTGCTCTGAGCCCACACTGCCTCTGGGTCAGGATGGAGGGGTGTCTACTGCTGGACACTGATTGCCCCAGGTGGAAGGCCCTATGAGGACACAGAGAAAGCTTGAAAATCAGCACAGACCTCCCCTAAATGGAGTTAACCCCCCAACACCCCGGCCGTGGAGGAGGGTACAGTACTCTCACTGGCCAACTTGAGTTCCTAGTAATATGCAAAGGTCAGAGGTCAGAGAGGATCCTCCTCAGGCCTGGAAAGAGGAACAAAGGTAGGGATTTTTGCTCCCTTAGGAACCTTCCCAGAATGAGTTTAAACTCCTGTGGTTCCCCAGGAGGAATGAATGTAAATGCCCAAGAAATTGGCCTCTTAATGATCGTCCTCCGTTGGCAGCTGGAGGCAGCTCTGAGCTACCTAAGTCCACCTCAAGGGTCTGCCTCTGAGGCTGCAACAGGGCTCAACAATGGTTTTTCCMGTCTGGACCCCTCACACTGGATCAGTAAGAGTGGGGAGAAGCCAAGGCTGTGGATGAGTAAGACCAGAAACACAGGCCTCCCTGAGGGGGCTTTCTGCCACAGAGCAGAGGACTTCTATCTGTGGTCTTTAGAGTTACATGGTGCCATCCTCTGGCCTTCCTAAGAGCTCATCTACTTTCTGGGCCATGATCTGAATTAGAGTACTAAGATCAGAGTCTACTGGCTCTTGGCTGGCTGTAACCCCAGGAGGTTAGCAGAGAGTGGAAAGGGATCAATGAGAGGGTCCTGGGACATGGAAGTGCAGGGTGGAAGGAATCAGAGCTGCCTCTGAGCTCCCATGTTTCTGGTGTACACTCTGATGTTTTGTTTTTGCAGAACTGGGGATTAAACTCAGGGTCTTGCATAAGTTAGGAAAGCACGCTACCACTGAGCTACAGCCCCAGTCTTTTATTTATTTATTTTTTTAACCAGGGTCTTGCTAAGTTGCCTAGGCAGGCCTTGAACTTGAAATTTTCCTGTCTCAACCTCTATCGTCACTGGGACTGCAGGCATCGCCACCTTGCCCAGCTCTGGAAAATACTCTGGACGGACCAGGGAAGACCTGGAGAAACTGGGAGGAGCACTGGGGCTCAGAGAGAAACCAGGAAATCAGAGAAAACAAGAAGCCATATGAAGGAAGAATAACCAACCCACCATCATCTAAGGAGAGAACAGGGTCTTGACTCCAGTTTTAGCCACTATTGTGCTAGCTCTGGAAGGTCCCAGGGACCGCCAGAGAAGATCCTGTTGTTTGAGCATCTAGGTGGTTCAGGTGCAGATACAGCATTGAGCCTCCAGGTGGCGCCAAGATGCTGACTTTCTGGCAGGCTCTGACAACCAGCTGGGCAGACCCCAGCCCCTCAGCCTTCCTGGGTCCTGGGAGCTTGCAGGAGCAACCTGATCCCCAGACCTTTAACTTGACCGAGACTACTTGAATGCATTTCCATTCACTGTACACTCACTGGGTGGAAATCCACACCTGTTTCTTCCGTGTGGTGGCATGGCCTCTCAGTGAGGAGGCTTCTCACAGCCCACAACCTTTCATCCCTGCTTTCCCTGGAATCTCCCCATCCTGATCCCTTCCAGGACAGCCCCCTCACTTCCCCCTCTCCTGTCTCTGACACGAGGTGAGGAGGGCTGACCCGTGCTCCAGTTCCAGTTGCCCTCCAATGGGCTGTGTGACCTTGAACAAATCATTTCTCTTGGGTCTTAGGTCCCTCAGGTGGAAACCCTTGTGGAGCGGCTAGGGGGCTATGGGAACTGAGATGTCTCCCAAGGGCCTCCCCCGGGTCCCTATGATCCCGGGCTGTCCCAAAAGGCAAGAGAGGCTGGAGTCCATCTGACCCCAGCTCTGGGGCACTCTTTCCAAACAAGTGCAGGTCTGAACTTTCCAAGCTCTGAATTTCTTTGCTTTCTTCCTTTTCTTTTTTTCTTTTTCTTCTCTTTTCCCCCCTTTCCTGGATGAAATTCCTGCCAGCTCGGAAGGAAGGAGGGAAGGGGAGCGAGCAGCGTAGAAAGTTTCCTTGACTCCTCCTCCGCCTGTGTCTCCCTCCCTTGCCAAGCCCAGCCTGTGAAACTGAATAACGAAGATCACTCAACAATGCCTGCCCCTCTCTGACTGCACGGTCCCTGCGCTGCCGCCGCTGCCGCCGCTGCCGCCGACGCCAAGGAGAGCCCGAGGGACAGTCCCCGCCGACGGTGCAGCCTGCCGGCCCGGCCGCCGGACCAGGAGGCGAGCAGCGGCGGTCACTGCGCCTGTGCGCCTGCCAGGTGCCCCGCAGCCCAGCCACCGAGATGCCCAGCCCGCTCCGGCTCCTGGCGCTGTGGCTTTGCTCCGCGCTGTGCGCCTCCCCGTGCGCAGGCGGCGTCCCCCAGCTGGGCCCGGGGCGTGCTGCCTGTCCGGTCCCCTGCCATTGCCAGGAGGATGGCATCATGCTGTCAGCCGACTGCTCTGAGCTAGGGCTCTCCACTGTGCCCGTGGACTTGGACCCCCTGACGGCATACCTGTGAGTACTCGCAGCGGGTCTCCCCCTGCTCCTGGCCGCCGGCTTGCKCTGTTGTGGCAATAGTCTAGGGCACCTGCCTAGTTGGTGCACGGTGGTATGGGTATCCCGGGAGGGCTCTTGCCCTTCCAAGTCCACCGCTGCAGAGCTGGGGAGGGGAGTAAAGTCTGAGACTAAGGGTCAAGGGAGTATCGAGCCTGGGCTTCCCTTGCTGGGTTTCCCACTTGGCACCTGTGTGTCGTGGGGTTTCTGTGGGAGTCTAGGTCTGGCAAGGTGGGCTCTGGACCCTGAGCAGGAGGGATAATGAGTGTAGGGGTGACCTCTCCTCTTTCTGCTTTCCCAGCAGAGCAGTGGCCAGCAGGGTGACTGAGGGCAAAACTGACTGGATTGGTGGGGAAGATGAGGGAGTGCACTCTGGTGGGGGGAATGGGGCCCCATCCTTGGCTCCAGGAGGAGAGCAAGGCTGGCACACTGAGGCTGGGTGGCCTTGGTGAGGGGACCCAAAAGCTGGGAGGGAGCCTCACCCTCAGTCATCTCTCAGAAAGGGACCCTGCCAATGGCATCTCCCTTTGCTCAGGCCCCTGCCCCCTCCCTCCACCCCAGGGGCCTCCCTGAAGTCCAGTCTCCGGAGGGTTGTGTTGGAGACACTAATTTGTGGGCAGGCACTGGGGCTGAAAACCAGAGAACCATTTTTAGAGTCTATGTTGGGGTGAGATGGTGAGTGAAGGGGACCCTATTGGGGGCGGCTGTCCTGAGGATGGCTTCGAGGAGCTTCTCTCAGAACTGAGGGGCCAGGGGCTCTGGCTGCTCACCACAGGCAGAAGGAGGGGATGAGAGAACTTTCCAGACCACCTGGCTCCTCCCACCTCTGCTCTAGGGAAAGAGAATCTCCTCAATCTCTGCTCCCCCACGTAGCCCAGCGCCACCACCTTTCTTGAGAGAAGGTGGAGCAGGTGGTAAAGTCTGGGATCTACCTGGGATAGGATCCCAGAATTCTTTCTGGCCTGAGAGAGGCTCCACATGGCTTTGGAGTTCCAGGACAGAGGCCCTCTGAGGAAGATGGAGCTGGCTAGTCTATAAAGAATAGAGGCCCCGTAAGAGTGTCCTTATGTCCCATAAGAGTGTGTTGAGCTAAATGGGACCAGAGCTCTCGGGGTTGGCAATGTCTGGTGGTCGTGAAGGATCCTGAATTGCAACTTTTGGTGGGTCTGCCCTCCAATCTCCCTGTTCCCAATTGGAATATCCCCTGCTGCTCCAAAAGGCACCGGCTATAAGCCAGGGGAGGGAAGGAAAAGGAGAAGATAATGTCCATATTCCAGAAAGGTAAATTGAGCCCTGTATATCCARGGGGTGACAGCAGGGACCAACACAGGAAAGCAAGACAGAAACTGTGAGCAGAGTCCTGTGGCGTTTTAAATGTGCCACAGCAGCTGGCAGAGTCAGGCAGGCTCCGACCCCACCCCAGTTACAACAAAGCACCCCCCCTTCTTGCTGTTTTATATACTGGGGCATGTGATATTGTTTCGTTTGAAGACAGGATCCTGCAGCTAAAACGAGTTTAGAAGTAACTTCTGTTGAGCCAGTCTCTGGAACAGACTTGCATGGGTTTCAAAGGTTGATCTGTCCAGACTCCTTTCCCAAGTCTTCCTACACTGGTCAGAGATCCTTTTTCAGGTAGGAATTGGGAAGGAGGGAGAGTGCCACTTTTGGGGTCTCAGCATCCCACATCCATGCTCATAGGTTCCCTCTAGTATCTGGACACAGTTCCCTTGGACACATGAACTACTTTTGGGTTCCGTGGGGGTAGGATTTTCTGAACTGGTCCTGAGTCTCCCTGGAGGCTGAGAAAGCTGCTCCCTCTTAAGACATGAGAAAGCTTCTGAGTTGGGAGAGGGGAGGAGACGGAGTCTGAGGCAACGTGAGGAATTAGCACACAGATCAGGAATATTGGAGGGAAGTGGAGAGGACTGTGCCCGCTGCYGTGGGCTGTGGAGAGTGATAGATGGTGTCCTGAAGGTGACTCAGAGAGTCTTCTTTCTTTACCCTCTCCAGAGAGCAGCCCAGCTCATCTGAAGGTGGAGTGAGGGTGAGGGCACTGGGAAGAGCCAGGCCTGGGGGGGTCCTGGGGCTCCTTTCCCTTGTCAKCAATGTTGGGAAATGCCTGTGGGCTGCAGAAGATACCTGTGGGTCCTCTTCTGCATTCCTGCATTCTGTCCCAGTACGAATCACTTAACATCTGCTTCCCCACCCGGCGTAAGCATCCCTTCTCAGCTTTACTTTTCATGGTGTAGTTTTCCTCATTCCTTCTGTTCCAGTTTCAGGGAACATCAGCGAGTCTTTATGGGTCTAAATGACATAGTCTTTGACATTCAAGTCCAAAAATTATGAATATTTCGGAGCCCAATGCCAGTCCTGTTTGATCAAGGTTGGAAGGACAGATTTCCTTTATAGCCCTTCAGGGGTCTCTCTTTTTAAAGTTTCCTCCTAAACATTGTCACCTGGGCAGGACCCAGTGACACTAGCTGGCTCTTTCAGGAATGCACCTAGGGGAAGATGGAGCCACGGTGCTTGGGTGCAACAGTGAGAAGGCACAATGCCCTCTTGCTCTGTCCCGTCAAATATGCACAGAACCAGGAGAAGGAATACACAGCAAATACTTGTTAGGAAAATAAAACAGAATTGTCTCAGAGTAGGAGAATCTAGGTAATGCCGTGGAGTCCCCCCTTTTCTGCCCTAAAGCTGAACAGTATTGGGAAATAGGTGGTGTGGAGAAAAGTTGTCTTGGGAAGCTAGCTGCAAAAGATCTGAGGCTCATCCATGTCAGCAGTCACCCCCAAGCAACCACTTCCTTCACACACAGCCACTGGGGCTAAGGAAGGGGCCTCTGCTCCATGGAACCCACAATAGACTACTCACTCCTTTCTTGGAAGTCACTCCCTTTAAGACTGCCTGTGAACTGAGTGTGGGGGTACACACTGGTAGACCCAGCAACTCAGGAGGCTAAGGCAGGAGGATCACAAGTTCAAGACCAGCCTCAGTAACTTAGCAAGATCCTGTCTCAAAATAAAATAAAGGGCTGGGGATGTAGCTCAGTGGCAAAGTAGCCCTCGTTTCAATCCCTGGTGGGGRAAAAAAAAAAAAGAAAGAAAGAAAGAAAGAAAAAGGGAAAAAGAAAGGCTGCCTCTGAGAACCACTGGATTGGTGTGAAAGGTCAGATGGTGAGTCTGAATGGAGACAGGGTAAACTGCAGCCTGCTCATCGCTCCCTGGGGATGTTTGTAACCAAAGAGATAGAGACAGGATGCTGGAGGAAGAAAGCAGAGGGCTGAGGAGACAGGCATTGGTCATATTGGTACAGGGCTCAGATCACTGCTTCCCAGCTATGTGAACCTGGGCCAGTTCATGGGCACTCTGTGACTCAGTTTCCTGGTCTGCAAACGGAGCTAATACCTGTCTCAAAGGGTTGCTGTGTGGATTCTCTGAGGTAATGTTTGTAGAGGGCTTGGCATAGGGTCTGGCCCATGGGAAGTGTTAGCCAGTGTTGTTATTCGGGGACCAGGGCCAGGAGGCATTAGTCATGGAAGACTTCTGGAGGAGGAAGTCCTGGAGCTAGCATTGGAAGAAGAGCAGTGCTTTCTATGACAGGTGTGGGACAGGTGTGTGTGTCTGTTGGGGATGGGGAGAGACTGGCTGGCAAGGAGACAGCATGAGCTGTGCTGGGGACCCAGAGTGCCTTTAGTTTTTTTTTTTTTTTTTTTTTTTTTACTGTCTAGTATGACATAGGGCTTCAGGGGAGGGGAGGGGAGTGACTGATGGAAGACCCCCCCAGCCTGCTTCCCAGTGTGTCCTAGATGGGTCCCCACAGGGCTTCTTAGATAAAGAAGCATGGAACACGTGACCTCTGTGGGGAGAGCTGGTCCTGGGGAGGATGTGTAGGGTCCGAGGTCAAGTCTCCTGTCTCACCTGAGCCTCAGGTGCCTTTCTAAGGGACTCTAAGAGCCCGCTGCTGCCCCTGGAAACTTGGGGTTCGTGAGTTCTCAGCCTCAGTCCCTCCATTGCTGGGAGACCCTGCACATGTCCTACAACTTCGCTGGACCTCAGTGTCCCCACATTTGGCTGAAAACTAGAAAGTAAGAGAGGCAGGGGGACCTCCACTGAGTCCCCTGCTGCTGATGTAGGACAGAGAGTGTTTGGCAGCGGGTGTGCGGGCAGGGAGGAGGGATGGGGAGAATCCAGGCAGCACCCAGACCGAAGCAGAGAGGAGGGCGAAGGAGGGGTGGAGGGATTCCAGGAAATGGGGTCCTCTGGGACCTCCTGTGCCGGCCTTTCTCCAAAGCCCTGCCTGGGGGGACGAGCCCATCAGAGGACGGTGGAGGGGTGTCGCTGGAGGAGTGATGTGAGGGGGAGCCAACACCCCAGTTCAAAGGAAAGGCAGGAAACAGCCCTAGGCAAAAGAAAAAGGAAACCTCTCGGCTTTGGCAGCAGTGGGCACGGGGCGCGGCCGGGTGGGGCGGCTGGCGGAGGAGAAGAAAGCCTGGCTCAGAGCGGAGTTGGCCCCCGGCCCGCCCCACTCCACCCGCCTTCCCCAGTCCCTGGGCTCTCAACCCCGATGGCCCCACACGCGCTGCAGCCTGCTCCCCATGCTGACCCAGGGCCACCAGGGGCAGAGCAGGGGCCAGGAGAGGGCACCCGAGGGGGCGCCCTGCAGGGTCATGGGTAGGGTCGTGGGCTCTGGAGTCTGGTGCCCGGGCTTGAGCAGCTCCGCCATCTTTGGAAACATCCCTCCACCTTGCCAGAGTTTCCATTTCTTAATCTTTGAAAATGGAAACACTCAGTACCTACCTGGAAGGGTCGTGAGGAGGAGCAAAGGAGAGGCAGAAAGCAAAGCCCTACTTTTCATATTACAAGTACTTTTAAAAATGTTAATTCTTCATATTGTTTTTACCAACGCCCTCAACTACAGATGTGCAATAGGCCTCCAAAGGGAACAGAGGGCTGCTTGTG